ATCCCACTGTGGCCCGGGGAAGGGGGAGCGAGCGGCTGTGTGGTGCTTAGTTGCCGGCTGGGGTTAAACCACAAAAGCTCGTTAGCCATGATGGGCAGCGCTGGCATACAGCCCAAGTATTCACTTTGCTTCTTGCAGGGGAAATTTGCAGCCCATGCTGACTTTCCTCCTGCTGCAGCTAAGGCACCAATAGTTCCTGGAAAAGCTAATTTAAAACCACCTAGGCATATTAGAGGACTGTGTAATCTCAGCTGTATCTGTGGTGTAGATACATCCATGAAAATCCAGGGGCAGATGCTCAGCTGGTGATGGTTACTCCAGTCCCTGATCCACACCAGCTCAGTAAGACCAAGGTGAGTAACAGGGACTTCTCCTGCTGGGGGAAGGGACAGGCCCCAGCGCTGTTGCCAGTTTGTTTTCATTACCCTGAATTTTCTGGAGTGGTGTTTCTGGCCCATAGGACCACATGCCATGGGTATTTCTGAAGACATGAGCCAGCACAGTAGTTGCTGTGTCTGGTGTGCACTGCCCTGGGTAACCAGAGGGCTGTCACACAGTGGAATGTATAACTAGCTCAGGGAAAGCACTGGTTTAAACCATGTTGGTTGAATTTAATGTCTTTTTTTTTTCTGTCTGTGCTTGCAGGTCAGAAGATTCTTCACCACAGAAGTGATGTCTTAGAAACTGTAGTCCTGATCAATCCCTCAGATGAAGCAGTTAGTACTGAGGTAAGTCAGTCAGAAATACTTCACTGGATGTGTCATAAAAGCTCCATTAAGTGAACAGGTTGAGAGCAGCTCCTAACTGTGGATGAAAGGACATGTTAGGAGCAAATATCATCAAAAACATCAGCCATCCCTTGATTTTCTTCCTTGTTTCCCAGACTCCTGATAAAGCATCAAAGGCATAGAAGAGAAACACACCATTTATCCCAGCACTCATTTCCTCATAACACACCAAATTCCTTTCTTGATGAAGTGTAGGCAGCTGTGGTGAAACTGCATCTGCTTTTCTTCTGCTCCTCCATTGTTTGGTAGCTCTGGATGCCTATTTTACATATGAAAAAGTGCCTGAAAAGAAACCAGATGCCCTGAGATAAATTTAGGTCTTCGAGAAGAATTACCATCTATGTGGTGGTGACTCTAGGTTGATCTATGTGATCTGTCCTTCAAAAAGCACGTGACATGATCAATGGACTCTGGAGAGTGCCCCAGAAGAGGACTGTCAATTCTTCATGAACTTGCTAGAGTAGAGTCAAAGAACTGAGTATGTAGCTCAAAGACAAAATTGACAAATTTAGCTAGTGAGACTGAAGGTTGTAAAAAAATAGGGATAATTACATTGCTAGCCAGTGCTGGGAAGCACTGACATAGTACAAATACTTTTGGAAATGAAGTGGCTCTGCTTGCAATACTTTGTGAAAAATCTATTTTGTTACCAACCTTAAATGATATTAAACACAAACAAGAGGAAACACACCAAAACAAATGAAATTTCTGAAGTTTTAAAAGTTTAAAAAAATAAGTAACCTTAGTTAATGACAGCTCATGCACTAAAAAATTATGTGTGAAAATCTCTTACATTGCGTTAGAGGTACTTGGTAAGGAACAAGGGTGTCAGCTGGGTAGCAGCTCTTAGGGTTTCTTTAATACACTCAGGCTTTCAGAGGAAAAAGCTATAAAGGATGGGGGAGGGGAAGAGCTGAAGGAACTGCCAAAAGTAGGGAAATGCTGCTTCTGTCACTGTTGTTTGTCATTCCTTTGATGGATGACCACATGGAAGAACATGGTCTGAGGCCGATTAATGCCTTCTGACCCCTGGCTTTACTCCTTTGGCTCTGGAAGATGTTTGGGTAGGTTACTGTTAATTTCCTCTGCTAGACTGTGAGAGGCAATCTTTTCTTCACTTTCATCTTGCCAGACTGGTCACAGTCAGAAGTTACAAAGTGAGATTTACCTTGGCTGGCTAAGCAAGAGTCTCACTGGACAAAAGCCAAAAGAAGGTGATAAGAAAGAGGCAGAAGAATTAAGTTGGAGGTTGGAATAGACATGCTTTGCCCATTATGGCAAATAGAAAACTTAGTTCTACATATCAAGAGATTTCCAGGTTACATCTGGGAGACAGTGATATACCATGGAGCTCTGACTTTCACCAGAAGAAGAAATTGAATCTATCAGTTCAGGAAAAACTAAGGCAAAAGATTTTAAAACAAATTCCTGCTAATCTGGCTGGTAATAGCCATACTGGTGGTAGTCTGAGCATAGTTCTGCCCAAAGCTCCTATCATGTTCTGTCAGCTGCCAAATACCTCCCAAAAGAGAGAAGCCCAAAAGGAGAGAGATCGCAGTTGCCCAAGGAAAACAAGTTTCTGAAAACCCCATGAGCAGTTAATTCCTTCTTAAGAAGATCCCACTCCATTGCTCTAACAATCCTGCGCCTGTACCATAAGTCTTGGAAACTGCTGATCTGCTTACACTCCTGTCTCAGTTCACACTCTGTCTTTAACTCTCTTTTGACTGAAGCTAAGTCTTGCTATTCACTTTCTTCAAACAATTTGGGACTTCAACCAAGGGTAAAGCTGAACAGAATCATCACCTTGCAATATTTCTTTAGTGGTCTTGAAATCAGCAGACAAAATTCTGGTAGTCTGAACAGTCTGGTAGTGGAAGCCTTGATTATACCCAGACACAGAATTTATGTGTCTCTCGAAGTTCTTTCATGTGTATCATACATTATGCTCTGTAATATGCAAGCTTTTGTTTATTTTTTTTTTCCTGCCATAGTTTTCTAGCTCTGCAGAACCTTTTTCACCATCAGTTAATAAAATAGATTGAAGGGGCATTATGTGACAGTTGCATATCAGTGATTCATAAGTCAGGAAATAATTTTGCTGTTGGAAAACCTGGTGACTTTATACATACGTTGGCAGACTGCCGAGAATTGCTGCCAGCAATAAGAGAAAACATAGAAGAGGAAGCCAGTTCTTTTATGGTTTTAATACAACTAAACCAGACAAGATTTCAGCCACGCATCAGCCAGCCAGCTTCACTTATCTATATTTTTGTATGAAATAAAAATGGATACACTTGATCCAGCAAGGATATTGCTGAATTTATAATCATTTAGTGCAATTAGTGACAGACCAGCATTAGTCCTGCATTTAATTAAAGGAACTTTCTGTTGCTCAAAGTCAAGGTCGCTTATTTAATAAAATAACAATGAAGATGTGGTAGAGTTGGGATCTTCTTTAAAATAGATACTCTTCAGTGGCTCTTTTCTACTTGTACTGAAAACACAAGTTGTTCAGCAGAGATTTAGGTCAAGCTTTCCTGGCTCAGCCTCCCTGACATGAGCAGGAATTGTTTAGAACAACTGATTGCTTAACAATCAATATAAAAATTTGAAAGAATGGCTTGCTAGGACAGCTGAGGTGATTATGTCATCTCCATGGAGATGGAGTTTGGATGCAATATCTACATGTGGAGTTGTTCCAGATGGACTCTGCTCATTTAGTTTAATACATGGATACCTTATTCTGGAATCACTATTCTGGTTTAACTTAATTCTTCCTGAACAGAGGAATTAGTGCACTTGAAATTCATACCTTACCTTAATTTGAATTCATTTTTCAGTTTTGGACAAGACTTTTGAAATATTTGCTGTATTGGGTCTGTCTGGGATGGAGTTAACTTTCCTCATAGTGCTGTGCTTTGTAGTTGTAGCTAGAACAGATAACACACCAGTGTTTTGGCTACTGCTGAGCAGTGCTCCCACAGCATCAAGGCCGTCTCTCCAACCCCCCGCCCCAAAGGCCAGTAGGCTGGAGGTGGGTAAGAGGTTGGGAGGGGACAGAGCCAGGACAGCTGACCCAAAGTGACCAAAGGGATATTCCATACCATATGAAGTCGTGCTCAGCAATAAAAGCTACCATGAGTTTTTCATCTTATTTTCTCCCCCCTATCCTGCTGAGGAGGGGGAGTGAGAGAGTGGCTTGGTGGGCACCTGGTGGCCAGCCAAGGTCAACCCACCACATTTGCAAAAGGTTTACTCAACAGTACAGAATCTTACAAAGGTTTTGTTTAGTTTTGTTCTTCAATTTAAGAAGAATTCAGCCAACAGAAGTATACTGAATATATGGATTTTTCTTAGCAAGCAAGTAAATCTCCCCCTGGGGCGGAAACAGGAATTATTGCTAGCTGTAGTGAGGGTCAAGTAAAGTAATGAGGATCTAGTTTTAAATAGTTAACAGTTATTTCAAAATGCAGAAATTTATTTCTCAGTAGCAAGCTCCTTTGAGCCATCAGGCATCTACATAATTTATTACTGTGTATTGAAAAAGGTCTTGGACTGGCACACTTAAAAAAGTTATAGTGTCCATAATTATTGGCATCATGAGATGTAAATGGTGCATGTGACTGTATCTGAGTGCTTGATTATGATTATGGTGAAACAGAAACATCCTTTAACTTTGTAGATGATTCAAGTTACAACAGAATGACAGTCTAAATATGCCACTTTTATGTGTGATTTGTGGCTGTTACTTTTTAGTGACATTTTTGCAACTGAATGGCAAGTAATGCTGTACACTGGGAAAAGAAGATCGGCCTTCCAAAAACAGTCTGACACATGTAGTTGTCCCTCATTAGCATGTGGGACACAGTTGACCAAGGCTGTCCTGATACGGTGCTATTAAAATTCAACAAGAGTTATACAAGAAATGTATTTGTTCATTGAAAATATTATTTTTTCATTCAAATGTTGTTCTGTTCTGCTCCTTGCTCTTTTTTCCCCCATGTCATTAGTTTGGTTTATTCATCAGACTTTCTCTTTAATCGCTTCTTGTGCCTTCTTTTTTCCCTTTTGCTCCTTTCTTGTTGTCTTTTGTAAACAGCACTATAACTTGAAAATGTTTCGACAGTCCTGGGAGACTCTGGTGCAAAATATGTTTTAAATTAGATGAGGTAAACTGTATGTTCTCAGAAGAATGTACAAACATGTGGTAACTCCCATTATTGATGTGTTTCTCTCCTTCACTCTAGGTGCGCTTAATGATCACAGATGCTGCAAGACACAAGCTCCTTGTACTAACTGGACAGTGCTTTGAAAGCACAGGAGAACTCATTCTTCAGTCAGGGACCTTCTCCTTCCAGAATTTCATTGAGATTTTCACAGATCAAGAGGTGTGTTCAGAAAAGCATCTTCCATACATTGTCACGTGATGGCACAGGTTTTTAGAAAACTAAAAATGGCCCTCTGTGTTGTTAGAATTAGCATTGGCTAACTAATGCTGATGCTCTTTACTCTTCATTATAGGCTTCCTTTCAAGACATTTAATTTACTTTAGTTTTGATGTAAATTGCTTAACAAAGAAATTACATTTTAATTTGGGGAATTAAATTGTAACTTCGAGAAACAGAAAACCAAGGAGCATTTTGACAATGGAAGAAGATAGTGTTGTGTTTAAAATATACAGCCTGTTTATCTAGGGTGCACATACAAAGCAGTCAAACTGAATTTGACACCAGGTTCTTGCCTGGTGGCAGCTAAGTAATAGGTGACATTAAATAAGACAGAGGCAATCTGTTGGAATGGCTGTAGTTTTTTGCACCACCTACCTGCTTGGCTTCTTTACTGTAGTGTTTAAAATTTTGCTAGTGAAATCTGTAAATTTTGTGATTTTTGCATACCAAAACTATAAGTATGAAGTATACCAATATTTAATGCTGTTTCTTTCATGACTTGTTATTTTGCTGTCTTGCTTAATGTACTGTGTCTGAAAGCTCCCATAGGGCAGGAACCCATAGTAAACAAGCTGTCACACTTAATTTGGCTGCTCTGTAAAATATATATTTGAATAAACTATACGGCTGCATCCCTAGGTATTTAGTTTCCAAAATGAATTAGGAGCATTTCAGTGGAGTGAGATTTGAAAGTTCAGCACTGAAAAAGCAAAGTTTGCACAAGCCCCAGTGTGACCTTATTGTATCCATTTGGTTGTAGGGCTGGGGAAAGAACTGGATTCCTGCTCTCTGAAACGCGTGATGCCTAAAAGTCACTGTAGGTTCACAGTTACTTTTCTGTGAAATTGCAAACGCAAGCTCCTTGCATCACTGGCTAATTAACGACACATAATTACTTTATGACTACATGCAAAACTAGGGGCAAATCCTACCATTACAGTTAGGAAGCCAAACCATTGGCTGGGAAGCGGAGCAGTGGGGGTTGGCTATGAGTTACAGCCACTGAAGGATTGCCGCAGTGGTGGGAATGCAGGGCATACTCCCATGGTCTCTGAGTAAAGCTCACTTGACTTGTCTCTGCTGCTGGCAGCATGTTCACCAGCCAGCCAGCATGGCTGTTTTAAAGGGTTGGCTTCCAGCTTATTGTCTCTGAAACCTTGGGCTCCCACTGCTTCTAAAAGATTTTACAAAAGCAAAGAAAGATCGTATTTGCCATACTGCAGTCTGTGTATGTGACATTTTTTAAAGGGTCCCATTAATGGGAAATTTTTAGGTAGTCTACAATTGGAAAAAAGGTTAGAAAAAATTTCAGTCTTTAATAATACTGATAGACCTTGGGCTGCTCAGTCCTTTGAGTCGGAGGACCACGAGTGCAGGAACAGTGACTTTCCATTTGCGGACACTGAAATTGTAAAAGATTGGCTGTATCAGATCGGGCCTGGGGATTCATCCCAGAGTACTGAAGGAGCTAGTGGATGTTACAGCAGGACCCCTCTCGATCATCTACCAAAGGTCTTGGGAGTCTGGGGAGGTCCCCGCTGACTAGAAGCTAGCCAATGTTATTCCAGTTTACAAGAAGGGTGTGAGGGAAGACCCAGGAAACTACAGACTGGTTAGTCTAACCTCAGTACCTGGAAAAATTATGGAGAAGATCATACTGGGTGCTATTGAAAGGCATTTAAAGGACAATGCAGTCATCGGGCATGGTCAACACGGGTTCACAAAGGGAAAGTCCTGTCGAACTAATTTGATATGCTTCTATGATAAGGTCACCCGCCTAGTGGATGAAGGGAAGGTGGTGGATGCAGTTTTTCTGGATTTTAGTAAGGCTTTTGATACTGTCCCTCACAGCATCCTTCTGGACAAGCTGTCCAACTGTGGGATGAGCAGGTACACGCTGCTCTGGGTGAAGAACTGGCTGAATGGCAGGGCTCAAAGGGTTGTAGTGAATGGGGCTACATCTGGCTGGCGAACCGGTCACTAACGGTGTTCCTAAGGGCTCAATTCTAGGGCCAGTTCTGTTCAATATTTTTATCAACAATCTGGAGGCAGTAGTTGAATGCACCCTTAGCAAGTTTGCTGATGATACTAAACTGGGAGGTGCTGTTGACTTTCTTGAGGGATCTGGATAGATTGGAGCACTGGGCAATCATTAATGGCATGAAATTTAACAAGTCCAAATGCCAGATTCTGCATGTGGGATGGAGTAATGCTAGATACAAGTATAAATTGGGAGAGGAGTGGCTGGAGAGCAGCCCTGCAGAAAGGGATCTGGGGGTGCTGGAAATAGTTACGGAAAACAGCCTTATTGAGAAGGCTAGCAAACATCTCAAACTAATTCACTCCAAAAAGTCTGCACTTCAGGAAAAAATGCCTTGATCTATACATAGACTTTAGCAAACATCTTAACTGGTGAAAGTCAACCCATTCGTCTTTTTTCTGGTATATAACCTTCTGTCTGTTCCTCCTGTTCTGTCTTTTTCTGTAGTTCTCTTCTGTAATTGCCTACCCCACCCTGACTTTGCACCTGAAACATCTCAAAATGTGTTTGCAGTGGTCCTAACCACGTAAAGGTAATGAGAAGCAGATCTAAGGGCAATGAGCCCTGTGTGGTATGTGTGGGTGGCTTTGCTGTGGATTGCAACAAAATACTCTGATCTATGGCCACTTGAGGGAGCTGCTATGAAGTATGTGAAAGAGTTGAAATGAATTTGACTTTCTCTGTAGAGGCATAGTAGATGCAAAGAGATTCTCCGTAGGACCCTGTGAAGTTTTACAGATGTTTATAGTATTTAAACTATGCTACATGTATCCAGATTATTTCCAAAGTTACACTTTTCATCTCTATATGGCTCTGAATTATGCCACATATTCTACAAAACCTGCATGCTTCTTATTGATACCCGGTTTATTTTTTATCTGAAGTTAAATAAATATCTGTTTCAAATATCTAAACAAATTGGATCAAAGGGCTGACCTATATTGCTGGCCACAAAAATGAAAGATTTGGAATAGTATATGGGAAGGGAAGATTGTTGACTGTCTAGCCATGCTATCCCACTTGAAAAAAGTAATCTCACCATATAACTTAAAGATTAAACCATTTAGCATAGCCCAAATCTAGTTCAGTGTGGTCCACTTGCAAGTCAGGAAGACTATGTACTCCAGTAGTGGTGTTGGATGTAATGGCAAATACTGTAGGTGATTTGAATCATTAAACCTTGAAAATAGTTATAAGGTAGTGTGAAGGGCTCCAGTCCCGAGGCAAACCTGTCTGTGCTATTAGGCACCGAGCACAAGGACTTTTAAGAACATGGTTGTGGTTATGTGGGGTAAGACCAAAAATGCAGCTAACTCAGAAGTCTGACCAAAATGTCGGACTGGGACCACATTACACCCGTTTTACATGAGTTCATGCTAAGTACTCAGGTGATCAGTGAATTAGGTGTGAAATAAGTGTGTGAGGAAGAGGTTCTTGCTATTTTAGGCAATTTGTACTTGGGAATTTAGGTGGAAAAACGTTCTTCTCATTTTGTTCAGTTTCAATATGTGGTTGAAGGTGGAAGCACATCAGCTTGGTGCATCTTGAATGAACACTGAAAGTGCTTGCAGAAGCTTGATGAAACTGCATTTAGCTGTCCGTGCCAGTAGTGATCTCTGTTGCTGGTCTCATCACTTGCTTGTTCTTGCCAGATTAAACTGAACCCTTTAAGCTGCCAACTGAGAAACTAACCACCTGAGATATCAGAGAGGTCTTTCTGGAGTATCAGGTTATGTTGCCCTATTCCTTCATGTTGTGGTTTAACCCCAGCCAGCAACTAAGCACCATACAGCCTCTCACTCCAGGTGGGATGGGGGAGAGAATGGGAAGAGGAAAAGTGAGAAAATGCATGGGTTGAGATAAAGACAGTTTAACAGGTAAAGCAAAAGACAAGCACACAAGCAAAGCAAAACAAGGAATTCATTCATTACTTCCCATTGGCAGGCAGGTGTTCAGCCGTCTCCAGGAAAGCAGGGCTCCATCACACATAATGGTTACTTGGGAAGACAAACACCATAACTCCAAACATCCCCCCTTCCTTCTTCTTCCCCCAGCTTTTATTGCTGAGCATGATGTCATATGGTCTGGGATATCCCTTCGGTCAGTTGGAGTCATCTGTCCTGGCTGTGTCCCCTCCCAACTTCTTGTGCACCCCCCCAGCCTACTCGCTGGTGGGGCAGTGTGAGAAGCAGAAAAGGCCTTGATGCTGTGTAAGCACTGTTCAGCAATAACTAAAACATCCCTGTATTATCAACACTGTTTCCAGCACAAATCCCAAACATAGGCCCATACAAGCTACTAGGAAGAAAATTAACTCTATCCCAGCCAAAACCAGCACAATGTAGCATATATAAATATATGTACCTCACAATCTCACAAATGCAAAACTTGCAACTGTTTGGATTTTTGATACAATAAATCATTTCTTCGTGTTCTGGAAAACTGTCCTGTAGTCAGTCATGCTAATCTGGGAGTCAGGAGCCAGCCTGCAGAAAGAACTGTAGTAATGATGGTGTCATGGAATACATCCTGTGTGAGGAGGGGATGAGGAAGGCAGCTGACCCTCGGGAGGATGCTGGCCTCCTCTGGGCTGCAGTTATTCTCTGCCTGTTAAGAGGATGTGCTGTTTCCCTTAGATATTTGGCTGGCTCTTCTGGATGGACAGGGGCAGCAGGGATACTCATGAGCTCCTCATCCCCTCTAAATATAAAAGCTTGTACTGTCCTCCTATAAAGAGTGGAGGAGGGAAGGGGGAATCTTGGGGTACTTTCCTCCTTTGGGCAATGAGGAAGGGACCTTTCCTCATAAGCTGCTCCTTTGTATTTAAAAAAATACAGTAGTAAACTAATTGTGCTAACAGGTTCCTTTAGCTTCTAAGACAGGTACTCAACAGTGCAGAAGTGAATGAAAAAGGTTTTATCTATATCTGATCAGGAAATATTATGTTTTGACATTAATAATTGTCATTAAAAAATGAATTTACATGCATCTTCTTGTGTTTTTGTTTTACAACCCTAGATTGGTGAATTATTGAGCACCACACACCCTGCCAACAAAGCCAGCTTAACTCTTTTCTGCCCTGAGGAAGGAGACTGGAAAAATTCCAACCTTGACAGACACAACCTTCAAGACTTTATTAACATTAAACTCAACTCAGCTTCCATATTGCCTGAAATGGAAGGACTCTCTGAATTCACAGAGTATCTGTCAGAATCAGTAGAAGTGCCATCACCCTTTGACATTTTGGAACCTCCAACTTCAGGAGGCTTCTTGAAACTCTCCAAACCCTGCTGTTATATTTTCCCGGGTGGAAGAGGGGACTCTGCGTTGTTTGCAGTGAATGGATTCAACATGCTTATCAATGGAGGATCTGAAAGAAAATCTTGCTTTTGGAAACTTATCCGTCACTTGGACAGGGTAGATTCTATTCTACTCACTCACATCGGAGATGATAACCTGCCAGGAATCAATAGCATGCTTCAGCGAAAGATAGCTGAATTAGAAGAGGAACAGTCCCAAGGGTCTACTACCAACAGCGACTGGATGAAAAATCTGATCTCACCTGATTTAGGAGTTGTATTCCTTAATGTACCTGAGAACCTGAAGAACCTGGATCCTAACTTTAGAGTAAAAAGGAGTGTAGAAGAAGCTTGTTTTACTCTCCAGTATTTACATAAGTTGTCTATGAAACCAGAACCTCTTTTCAGAAATGTAGGAAATACCATTGACCCCATCATTTTATTTCAGAAAATGGGAGTTGGCAAACTTGAGATGTATGTGCTTAATCCTGTTAAAAATAGCAAAGAGATGCAATATTTTATGCAACAGTGGAGTGATACGAGCAAAAATAAAGCTGAATTCCTGCTACCAAATGGCCAAGAACTAGACATTCCATTATCCTATTTCACCTCTGTCTCATCCCTGATTGTGTGGCATCCAGCTAATCCTGCAGAAAAAATAATCCGAGTTCTGTTTCCCGGAAACAGCACCCAATATAATATTCTAGAAGGACTAGAAAAACTCAAACACTTAGACTTCCTTAAACAACCAATGGTTACACAAAAAGACCTAACTGGGAACATTGCTAGTCCGGCTGTGAAACAAGCAAAGTTGAAGCAACGAACAGACAGCAAGGAGAGTCTCAAGCCTGCTGTGAAGACGCCACCAAG